GTTACACGACTTCGCCCTACCCACTGCACTCATGTTCGCTGACGACCTAACGGTACTCATTAGAGCAAACAACAGCTCCTTCCAATCACTGGTAAGGGCAATGGAAGCATTTAGACTCRCATCAGAAATGAGAGTCAATGGGAATAAAACCGAAGGATGGTGGTTAGCAGACGACACCCCTCCCCAACCCCCGGACACAACCACACCCATGTCCTGGACCGCGGGAGAGCAAGCACTACGATTCCTGGGCATCATGATAAACAAAGAAGGAGTGTGGCCGGGAATGGGTCAGAACCTAATAGCAAGAGCAATCACTCGCCTGGCCCAGTGTAAAACCGCCCAGGCCTCAGTGATCGGACGGGCACTACTGATCAACGCAGCGATCTTCTCCACACTATGGTATATGGCATCAATATGGTCCCCCCCCGACGACGACCTCAAGGAGCTCAAGAACAGGGTAAGGTGCTACCTGTGGACAGGTGACCCCAACAGGACCACCTGTCTCAACAGGGTCGCATGGAACCACATCACTAGGAAGCCACAGGAAGGGGGCCTCGGGATAATTGACCCAAAACAGGAATCCATAGCACTGCAGATGAAATGGATAATCAAGATTCTCACCAGACAATTCCTCCCGTGGACCCACATGGCGCTGGACAGCATCAGAAACCTAGCTCCCATCATCTCCCCTCGAAACATGAACGGCCTGTTCTGCATTATGGCAAAGGACTGGACAGTCAAGTCTAAACAGAAAGTGCAAGATCTTTTAAATACAATTATATTGTTTTTCTAATTTTTTGTTTTTGGGTGTGAATTCAATTACTTGACCACGCAGAAGAAACCCCGCACAGCACAATCCTGCACAACTCAACACAAACCCAACTCATACAGTCAGTAAATACTGGAGCCCCACCATCAAGGCCTGACGTAAAATGATGCCGAGCAAACACGGGGCACCAGGAAACAGAGAAGAAGTCTTGAGACAACCGCTTTTCTGCAATCCCTGGATCACTGACCCCAGCGGTTCAACCTGGACACTACGTTTTCGGGACCGCTGATGGTTATCATGGATAGAAAAAGGAGTATGGCAGGTCAAGCACATCTGGGTAGAAGAGCAGGGACGGTGGGCTACGGATCAGGAGCTACGAACCACACTAAAAGGCTGCCACGCCCTCTCCGATAACTTAACACTGATCCAAAATAGCATCCCAACACAATGGCTCCCCCTCCTAAGAGAGGAATTCCCGTGGAAATCCGGGGACTGGGGCATACTAGTCTCCCAAGCCCAGCCTACCAGGGCATACAGATTCGTCGCTAGAACAGACCCACCCGGCTACCTATCCAAGTTCTATTCCTACCCGGTAGTGAATCACAGCACAAACGAAATGGAAGTTCAGAACAACGACTCCCAGGGCGAGAGGCTGGAGACTTTCCGACTGAGAAAAGTGAGGGTATCAAAGTCCAAACCCTGGATAATCTTTCGACCGGATCTCTGCATCTTAGAGCTAGAATTCGACCCGAAAGAATGGATATGGAAACAGGGAAACTCAGGGAGGACGAGAACAATAGCAGAATATGACGTCAAATTCGGCTACGAGCTAGACCTATAGACCACAGACCCAGACCCCAGACTCAGAAGCAAATGCAGGGATATACTAAACCTGGATCCCTCGACCCCCATAACCATCCCGTGGACTAAATTCCTAACCATCAGACCAGCTAGGATTCGAAGCATGCAATGGCTCTCAGCACATGCCTCCCTGCCAACCAATCAGTGGCTCCACAAGAGAAGAAAACACACAGACCCTGACAGCACTGAGATATGCAGACTGTGCACAGACAGTGGAGGACACACTCCACTGCCTCTTATACTGCACGGAAGCTACGTGGATCTGGAACAAAGTGCGCGTCCTATGGACCTCTCTCTTCTCTTCACCCCCCCCGGCCACAACCCCCCTGAACATCCTGCTCCTATCTAACGACATTAACAATCTCAAAGGCGGCAAGGAAGTGTGGTTCCACCTACTCAGAAAGCTGGCTCTATGGGTAATCTGGAAAAGGAGGTGCTCCAAGACGATCGAAGAGATCGAGGTGCCAAGAGAAGAAATGTGGGCTCTACTGCTGAGAATGGMTGAAACAGAAATCCGATCCWGATGGCGAGAAGTGACCACGACGACGAAGGGCAGACCAGAAAGAACAGCCACCAGGAGACGTAAATTTACAAGAGACTGGCTTCTACAAGGAAAGATCGCGACTGTGCAGGACAACAGAATGGTGTGGAAGAAGTGGCACAGTACATGAATAGGGATCCAAGAAGGAGCAAAATGAGATTATAATCTCAACAGTCTAGACAGCTCTCCCCTTTTCTTGTTTTACAATCTGGCAGAGACAATGTAGACTCTGAGAGGAAAAGAGGTAGGGAGGGCAAGCTGACAGCAAATCCTCCTGATAGGGAGCAATCAATGCTGGTCAGGGTTCCTTCGGCCAGACGGAAGGAAGCGTGTGGGTGTTCACCATGTATTTCATTCTCGACTTGCCGGTGGAAAGGAACCGGACTGACGCTCCCCAGAATGGATATGGAGACGGGACCATAAGGACCTGATTTAAAAAAAAAAAAAAAAAAAAAAAATTTGGAAAGAGAAACAGCCTCAAACAGGAACCAAAACTGGGCCTTGTCCTTTGGGAGAAATTGGGACATCTGTTAAAATTGGAACGATACAGAGAAAGACTAGAATGGGCGCTTCACAAGAAGGACACACACAAATTGAGAAATGATGGTGGACACACATCTGTTAAAACTGACCTCCTTTTTTAAGAAACAAAACTGGAACAGAAACAGAACAAGAAAACCAGAACCAGAGACAGAAACAGGAGCAAGAACAGAAACAGAAACAAAAAAAAAATCTGGAAACAGATCTGCCCGCTACATCACGGACAAGAGACTCAACGCAGCCATCCTCTTCTTCAACTTCGAGAAAGCCTACGACCAGGTCAAGTGGACCTTCCAACAGCAGCGTATGGAGAAAATGGGTGTGGGCCCCAACTTCCGGAGATGGGTGTGAGTCCTCTACAGCCATGCCCACGGCCAGGTGCAAATTAGTGGTTTCCTTTCACTGCTGTACAGGATGTCCCGATCAGTCAGACAAGGAGACCCGCTGGCGGCCCCGCTTTTCCTTTTCTGTTCACAATGGAAGCAGTGGCATCCTTCCTGCAGAAGGACCCGTCGATAGACAGACTGATAGCTGAGCCAGCCCCCCCCCCGGGCATGTGGTCCACCGCCAACTGCACTCCTCTTTGCAGACGACCTCACAGCACTGATAGGAGCCTCCAACTCCTCGTTTCAGGCACCCACGAGAACCATGCAAGCCTTCCAGCTGGCTTCGGAGATGAAGGTCAACTGGCTGAAGACCATGGGGTGGTGCTTATCGGACACACGGCACCCAGATGACACGCCAGAGGGTTCGCATGGTATGACCCGAAAACTCCGCTTTGCTATCTGGGGATAAAACTAACTGATGCAGGTCCCGACCATGCGATAGCCCCGGAGGTTCTTACCAAGATGCTGCGGAAAGTGGACACATGGTCCAGCATCTACATGTCTGTCTTCGGTCGAACCCTGGTGCTCAACGGTTCCGTCTTCTCTATGCTCTGGTATGCTGCTTCCATCTGGACTCCAACAACGCACACGGCTGGCACCCTCAAGAAACGGGCAACGGCCTACTTGTGGGCAACGGCCTACTTGTGGACAGGTGACCCCTCGATAACAAACTACATAGCAAAAGTGGCATGGTCTCACCTCGTCCAACCAAAGGCCAGAGGAGGACTGGGCCTATTGGACCCCGCCACACAGATGAAGGTCCTGCAGACCTAGTGGGTGTTTAAGCTGCTCACCCAAGCCGACTTGCCTTGGGTCGCCCTGGCCCTGTACCTGATCAGACAACTACCGGTGGCAAGCACACCCTCGAACATGCAAGGACTGTTCTGGCTGATAAACCAACCGCGAGCGAGCGAGCGAGAGAGAGAGAGAGAGAGAGAGAGAGAGAGAGA